ACTGACCCCAGCTGGGGCCTGCCCCAGTTCTAGCCAGTGTCGTGACTGTCATCTCGGGAGCTTGATATGGTTTTGTATATATTTCATTATTTCTTTTTTTTATTTTATTATTAATATTTCATTAAAGTAGTTTAGTTCCTTCTAAACTTGTAAGTCTCTTTTTCCTCCTCTGCCCCTCTCTTTGAAGAGGGGTAGAGGGGAGCATCTGTCGGTTCCATCTGGGGTCCCCCCAGGTCCCCAGTAGCGGATTTGGCCTAAACCACGACAGCATGTTATCCACCACATGGCCCATTCTTCCCTTGTGCCAGCTCTCCTCAACTATGCTGCTGTACATTCAACTGGACCAGTAAGCTCAGTAAGTCTTTTTTTTTTTTTTTTTTCCCTCCTGGCAAGGTTGGTTTTCAGCCCCATCAATGTGGCTGACTGCATAGGTCCATAAGCACCAGCACACAGGGTACAAATACACACGTGTGGAGGCAGAGAAAGCACACTGCATTTTGGTGGCAGAAGTCTTACACTGACTAAAGTTGATAATGAAATATCATCTTCAGTCTCTGTTCCTACAAGATGGGATAAGCTGACCAAAATGTTCTGTTCCCTTCCACTATTCACAAAAGGACTTACACACAATTTACCTCTGACTACTTCTGCATCCAGGAACTGACTCTAATGGCACAAAATAACCCCAGGAAAAATAAAATGCAGAGTTTCTTGTTGGATCATTGAGATGAACTCAATCATTAAGAGTCTTGGGATCACCAAAACTGGCTTTTAGCAAGGTCCTTCTAAGCAAAGACAGCGCATGAAGACCTCTCTCTTTTGGTACGAGCAGGACACATGGGAAGGCCAGGGGGTTGAGAAACCAAATTTCTAAAAATGTTCCACAAGAATTTCATCTGGAGCCTAAAATAGTAACAAGTGACAGAAAGAACCTGTGCCTACTCGGGTATAGAAAACATGGACAATTTATTCAGTCTCTTCCTTCCGTCAAACCCCTGAAGACTTGGTTCTTATAGAGAAGCTGTGCCTTTCCAGATCCATTGAGCAACACCTTGCTGTTGAAACCAAAAAATGACAGACCATTTCTAGATCTGAAATTGAAATTCATAAGAATGAATGATTTTGCCTTGTTTCTCCCCCTCAGCAGAAATGCAGACCAAGATTACAGCATAAAGAATTAATACATTAATTCGACCTTAAAGGAGAATATTAAATAGATATGACCATAAACAAATGATCAAGTCACATACAAAAAATTAGGGTAAGTGGCTAAAAGCTCCTTTCTTTGTCTGGTTTATTTTTCCTCATTGTTGAATGCAGCTGAATCTTTGCTTCAGGAAATTCATCTCACAAAGATTACCAGGGCAAGATATGCAAAATCTCCTTTCAACTGGGCAAAAGTCTTTGTTCTGAATCAGGATTATGTGCTGCATTCCTCTGCATATAAAGACAAGTGAAAAACATTCCTCTTTCCTTGAATTCACTCACCCCCCACCATGCAAAACACAACAAAAAAGAAAATAAAGAAAAGAAGCTAACAGAAGGAAAATCTCACTCCCTAACATGCATCTCACGTCATTCGCTTAAGACTTTACTAGTCAGTAGGAAAATATTCACCTTATGTTTATTTTGTCCTTTTGATAGAACTACTCTAGTTACTGCTAGTAATTTGGGATGAATTACCCTAATGAGAACAGAAAAATCATAGATAACTATATTCCAGAAATGATATATGTCTCTTAGTTAATGCAATTTTTAAGGAAGTTTTCACAAGACTTTATTTTAAAACTTATTTTATTTGTAATCTTTCACTGAAGAGAATTCCACAGAAAAGATTAGAAGATTGAAAACAGGTTTTAAGGTAGGAAGTTGATGTTTACTTGAAAAAAATTGAGAGTAAAATTTTCAGTAAACTCTCAATCCCTTCCTTTGTGTGTATAGACAGGTCCATCCATTCTCTGATGTCTTTTAGATTTGACACACAAAATTATCAGCTACTTAGAGCAGAATTTCACACCTAATTTCAT